AGGTTCATTCAGAAGTCTCCACGCTTGTCGTGCCAAAAGAGATAGATAAAGATCTCAAGATCTCTGAAACCAAGCCTCCCAAATGTTTTGGACGTGTCATCACGTCCCATGAAACCTAGGCTGGTTTGCGTTCTCCCTGCCCGCATCCCCACCAAAATTTCCTGATTATGGATTTGATATGATCACAAAGTCCCCTCGGGAGCTTAAAACATGACATAGAGAAAACCGGGATAGCTTGGGCCACGATTTTAATAAGCACATCATTTCCACCAGCAAACAGACATTTGCTCATCCACCCCTTTACCTTATCCCATACCATGTCGCTCATATATTTGAATGTCCCTTTCTTTGAGTTTCCCACATCAGTAGGCATACCCAAGTATCTGTCGCTCAAAGATTCGTTGGGAACTTGCAAGTGGCCTTTGACAGCATCACAAACTATATCTGGACCGCCCTTGCTAAAGAAAATTGAGGATTTCTCTATGTTTATCCTCTGACCCGATGCCCTGCAATAAGAATCGAATAGGTTTGATATTTCTTCTGCTCCATCAACACTTGCCCTGAAAAATAGTAGGCTATCATCCGCGAATAAAAGATGATTCACCACTAGGGCCAAACAGCGCCACCTTAATACCGCTGAGCTAGGATGATTGGTTCTGGGATTTTAAGAGGCACGGAAGGCCCTCTGCTGCTAACAAGAAAAGGTATGGAGAGATGGGATCTCCCTGTCGAATTCCCCTTGTAGGTTTAAATGATTCTGACCTCACACCATTGAACATTACAGAAAAAGATACTGAGCCCACCATATTCATCACAACTGAAACCCATGGTGCCACAAAGCCCAACTTCTCCATGATAGACTTCAAATAAGACCACTCCAAACGGTCATATGCCTTCATCATATTGAGTTTCAAAGCTTCATATTTGTTGTTCTTTGATCTATTCCTCTTCATAAAGTGCAAACATTCATAGGAGGATATTATATTATCAGTTATCAACCTCCCTGGAACGAATGCCGACTGCTCCTCGGATATTATGTCAGGTAGGATCAACTTTAGCCTGTTTGCTAGCACCTTGGAAGCAATCTTGTAGAACACGTTACATAGACTAATTGGGCGAAACTGAGATAGTAAAGTTGTGTTGGATACCTTTGGAATAAGAACCAACAACGTGTCATTCAAACATGCAGGGCTCTCCTTGCCTTTGACAATGGCCAACACTACTCTGGTGACCGTGTCTCCACATATATCCCAATGCCTCTAAAAGAAATGAGCTGGGAAGCCGTCAGGACCCGAATCTTTTGTGGGAAACATTTGAAAAAGAGTTGTCTTAACCTCCTTCGCCTCATACGAGGCCTGAAGCAATTCATTCATCTCCGGTCTAACCTTCACGGGCACATGCTGAAGAACATCCTCCACCCCTGCACTCCTTCAGAAGTATAGAGCTGTTTATAAAAGTCAAGTGCCATATGTTGAATCTCAGTTAGCTTAGAAGTTACTTGCCCATCCGGCCTCTCTAGGGCCTTAATTAAATTCTTTCTCCTCCGCATAGAGGCCCGCATATGAAAAAAAAAGAGAATCCCGATCCCCTGCAGAGAGCCATTCGACACGTGAACGCTGTCTCCACATCAGTTCCTCATGTAAATATAGTTTGATCAGGCGGTATTTGATTTTGATTTCTACATGAGACGGGCCCAACCGCCTGGCGTCACTACGCAAGCGTTCCAGGTCCTTTTTTAAACATCGGATTTCTCCTCGAACACTTCCAAAAGTGGCTTGTGCCCATTCGCCTAGGTTATTTGCCAGCGCCTCGAGATTCGCATGGACTTCACAAACCGATAGATTATGGCTGTTGGACTCCCATGCAGCTTGTAAAATTGGTTTCAGATCGGAGTGTGTTTCCCACATCACCTCATACCTGAATTGCTTTGCTTTCTTGTCACCTCCATTTGATTGCGCTAATTGTAAGAGGATGGCCGAGTGATCCGACATTGCTGCCGTGATGTGTTCAACAACCGCTGATGGAAACAGACCACACCAATCCATTGAGCTGAGGGCCCTGTCCAATCTTACACGGGTATATGATCCTCCCGTGACTTTCTTCTCATAGGTCCACCTAGTACCCTTGAAACCGAGATCAATCAAACCACATACGTCAACCGCATCACTGAAGCCCTGGATTTGTGATTGACTCCTCGAACCAATCCCATCATGTTCATCGTGCTTCAAAACCTCGTTAATATCCCCTATGAACACCCATGGCATATCATGTAGAGTGGACAGGTTCTTCATTGTAGTCCATGTATGATGGCGAAGATGGGTCTGAGCTTCCCCATAGAAGCAGGAGAGCCTCCATGGTTGATCACCTACACCGGTAATCTTGCAATCAATATGATACTTCAAGTAGCCCAAAATCTCATTCTTTATTTCATTATTCCAGAAAATAGCTAAACCTCCGCTCCTACCAGAGGCATCAACAGCAAAAGAATTATCATAACCTAAAGTACTTTTTCAGATTTTCCGCTCTCTCCCCACTAATCTGGGTTTCAACTATACAAAGTACTCTTGGGGCAAACTTATTAGCGAGTTCGGGCGGCTCTTAAACTATCAAGGCGTTGCCAATCCCCCGGCAGTTCCAGCTTAAGAGATTCATTGCGTCCGGCGGTCCTCCGCCGCGGAGGCCGCGCCGATCTCACGTCCGAGCTTTTTCCCCTATTGGGGTTCTTCTTTGCTACAATTGTACCAGCCTTCTCGCCCAAATTTCCTCCCTTACCAGCTCCATGAGCTTGGAGCGTTTTGGGTCTTGCTTAGGAGGAGGGCTAAGCGGCATAGTTCCCCCGCCTGATTTTGCCGCCACAACCAGCTCCAACCCCGTAGCGGACTTGAGAACCGGGGAGCCAGCCACTTGGTCCGACGGGTGTTTTCTGTTGGCGTCATTCACCTCCATGCTCATCTCTTCATGAACCTGTGCATCCTGTTGGCTCGACTCCGGGTAGGGCGTAGCATGCGCATCATTGTTCTGAACTTTCTGGTTTCTGTCCCGGCGTCGCGTTCCCCAAGCAGTTGTCGCAGGAGCACGAAGATTTTTGAAAACTAGGGCAGAGCGGGGATGCACCCCATCCTCATGCTCTTTGAACTCATGGCCCATCATGCCGCACACCTGACACCAGTCGGGCAAGCGTTCGTACTTGACAGCGAAGATCTCCCTCTCACCACCACGGATCAGAGATATTGCTTTGTTCAGAGGGTGTCATACGTCCAGCCTGACTTTGACCCTGTATAAATTGCCTTCGAAGTCAAAAGAGTCCGAATCTACAAACTCGTCGATCTTTGAGGCCAACGCCTTCACTTTCCCATGATAAGCGATGGGGAGTTCAATGATTCGTGCCCATATCTCAAAGGTGAAGAGCTCAATCGAGGAGGGCTTTGTGTATCCATCGTATGGGGTGATGATCACTGGATTACCCCTAAAGTACCATGGGCCTCCCTGTGTGACGCGTTCCCAATCCCCCAAGGAGTCAAATTGCATCTGGAAGAGATTTTCCTCCAAGGTTTTGATCTTGACTGGCCTGGCTAGATCCCATGCCGACCTCATGTTGCGGAAGAACCAGTAGTTGCTGAAACCCTTGTCCATATGAACTCGGGCTAGGATCATCCACCGGAGTTTCTCCTCCGCCGGGGCGTCATCATCCTCGAAGATCACATCATCGAGGTCATCTTCCTTAAGGGCCAGCTCCTGCGTCATCTCCTCCAGATTGCCTTTTCCCTTACGATCAGACGCCGAAGTGCTTCCCTGGCTCGCCGTCGAGAGCCGCCAATGCAGAACCGATCTCACACGAAAAACCCTAATTCTCTGGAGGTAGAAGACCGATCCAGGCCTGGGCGGCAGACAGAGCTACCCCACGAATCGGCCCGAGGTCAGATCCCACGACTGCCGGCGAGAAAGACGGTAAAATTCTCAATGTCGCCAGAGGCAGCGAGAGGAGGCGAAACCCTAGCTAGAGGGAAAAACTCGAAAAAAGAAGGTAAAATTCTCAACGTCGCCAGAGGCGGCGAGCAATCCTAAGTGGTGCAACTTTTTTAAAGCTAAAAAAAGGAAGAAAAAAGGTAAGTGGGCCGAGCCCAGGACAAAGCCTATAACCAGTGCCAAATATGAGTTGGGCTACTATACAGCTTATCTACATAAGCGGATATGATTTGTGAAAGGTCTAGCTATATTGTCCTTTATACGTTTAGTGTGGGGGTGTACCGAAGCGAGACTCGTGCGTACGGTGAGATACAACGCTGGACTTGGCCTCTTATTACATAGAAAATGGGACTATGAAGGGTAATAAAGCCTTGCATCTCTGAACTGTTCACACTAACGAAAAGAAGGATCTCTGCAGCCGTACCTGAAGTAATATAACACACCGGTGGCTCGTTGAAACCTTCGTCGAGAGATTTGGTGATGGGCCGGTGAGTATTAATATGGGAAACTGATTCATCACGCACAGCTTCCGTGTCACGGAAACAACGGCACGACAGGGACATAGGCATAGACAAATCCTTTGTTTCCATGCAAGTGACATACATGGTTTCAGTATTTCGTGGAGTGCGAGAAGGACACAGTCCACAGAAACTGGCATAAAACTATCCCGTGTCAAACTGCGACAAAATCGGACCATCGGGAGACCTAACCCTCCAGTTCACGGAATCTGCCTTGGTCGCCATCACCGCGCATTGTGCACACGCAAAACTCCAAGTGACACCTTTTTGGCCCCTCGTCACCATCGATATAGACGCACGATAAACAACCGCCAGGAAACTCTTCGAGGCATGCAGTGGTCTCTTCTCCTCCGGTATAGTTGTAGCCATCTGGATGTCACATGCAGCTGTACACATCTCAGTGCCCGGTTAATAATTCTCACAAGGGTATCACTGCCTGCCCTCCTCCCTCTCTGGTTGATCGATCTTATCTTGGTGCTTCGGGTTTCCCTATAAATTGAGGCCAGAAGTAGCCATATGTTCTCATCTCTAGCTAGCACGGGAGTTAAGCAATATTGTAGCCTCTTGCTCCTCACTGCTGTACTCAAATTACTGATCGAGATGAATGCGAGGGTTTTCGGCAACGTCGGTGAGACCCTGGTGCTCGCCCACGGCTACGGGGGCAGCCGGTTCGTCTGGGACGACGTCGTCCCGTCGCTGGCGGACAAGTTCCGGGTCGTCGTCTTCGACTGGAGCTTCTCCGGCGCGGCGGACGGCGGCGGGTGCTCAGAGCGGCGGTTTTCGTACCACGACTTCGCCGATGAACTTGTGGCGCTGATGGACGAGCTCGGGCTGAGGGGAACAGTGTTCCTGGGGCACTCCATGGCTGGCATGATCGGCTGCATCGCGTCGCTGGCAAGGCCAGACCTATTCAGCCACCTCGTGCTGGTTGGGGCGTCACCTAGGTTCTTCAAATCACACTCCCAGCTTTCGTACTAGTACATGACTTAAATAAACGTACGAAACGAAATGACCGTAAGGATGTCACTGAACCATGGCCGTTTTAATTGCACGTACGTTGGACCAGGTACATCAACGACGACGGCTACGAGGGCGGATTCGACCGCGGAGAGGTGGACGCCATGCTCGGAGCCATCGAGGCCGATTTCACCGAGTGGGCGCCGCTCTTCGCCGAGACCGTGGTCGGGGTGGACCACCCGGCCGCCGTCGCAAAGTTCGCCAAGCAGCTGGCGATGATGCGCCCGGGCACCGCGCTCCGCGTCATGCGCGCCGTGCTCACCTGCGACGTCCGGGACGTGCTCCCGGACGTCAAGGCACCATGCACCATCGTGCACTGCACCCAGGACGCCGTGGCGCCGCTCGCAGTTGCCCGCTACATGCAGCACCGACTGGCCGGGTGCGCTGGTGGCGGCGGCGCGGCCTCGGTTGTCATCCAGTCCTCCAGCCACTTCCCACAGCTCACCGCGCCAAAGGAGTTCATCCGGGTCATTGAGGCCATCTTGCTCGACCGCTGAGCTACTACAACCAGCAATGAAGTTCCATGGCCTTGTTGAATGTGAATTAAAAGTTTGCGTTGCTTTGTTTGTTTTTTTACTGCTTTCGTCGCTTAGTTGTTTACATGCATGCTTGTAATCCTCATTAATCGTACATTTCTACTTCATCGGTCCTTGTGCTTTCCAGGTTTTTGTGTGACAATATAAACACTCGGGTCTTGTAATGCAGATGCCAAGGAAACAGGGACTGAACTACCAGGCAGTCGCCTGAATTTGTGATTTGGGTCAGTCACTTTTTCTTTGCATGCAGCGTATGGTGTGCAGTGTGGGGTGGTGTGGTGTGGAGTGCGTCTGCGTGCGTGAGCTAGCTATCTAGCTTTGGCTGGATGTGCGCGTGAGCTAGCTAGCTCCGGCTGGCCGTGGTGTGATGTTCATGCAGCTGAGCGTGATGTGTTGCGTGCATCTGTCCATGGATTGCTTCCACCGCCCGCAGCGCCGGTCTGGCCGGTAATGGAGCAGCCCGGCAGAGTCGCAGTGTGTGGATAGCTCAGAGTAGATGATGAATTGGGAAAGAAATAGATAGGTCCCACGCGAGAAAAAAAATATTTGAAGGTTCAAATATAGCGAACCTGACTTTGCGTGCAACCTAGTCAGTCACCTTATAATAGAAGATACAAAATGAAATGAAATCTAAAAAAACAGAATAATAAAGTTTTTTAAGAAATAATGAATTAGTGGCTTTGGTATTACCCTTTAAAAGAAACAAAAACTAAATCAAAATCAAAATAATGAGATTTTCCAAGGAAGAATGAACTGGTGGCATTGGTATTAACCTTTAAGAAGAAAGAAAATGAAAACAAATCTGGAACAAACAGGAACAAATTGCTTACACAACATACCCAAAAATTATGCTTTTTTAAATATGCAACAATAAGCATATCATAGTGGATTTTGTGCAAAATGGAGTTTCCTAAGAAGGAATGAATTAGCCACACTGGTATTACCATTAAATAAGAAATAAAATAAATAAAAACAATGAAGTTTATAAGGAACAATGAATTTGTGCAATTGGTATTACTATTTAAGAAGAAAAAAGAAAAAAAACTTGCACACAACTTTGCCCTGAAATTTCACTTTTTGTAGTATGTAAAGAATAATCATATAATAATACAGTTTTCATATATAGTTTGTAGTATTTGTGTATATATGTTTACACTCACACAACATCCCAAAATACCAACAAAAAAGCCAACTAATAAAGAAACAAACAAAAGACAAAAAAGAGGAAAAAATCAAAATGAAGGGGGGGGGGGGGGGCTGGGCCACATAGGTAATGGGCTTAGCCCATCAAGAAATTGACTGGCCCAAATTTGTGGTCAGCCAAAGAACCAGCCTAAAACAACTTAGAACAGTCCAGAAAAAAACACGAACCTCAAAGCCAAAAAAACAATGGCTCAAAATTTTATTGACCGAAAGTTGATTTTCACGCGACTTACATATAGGTAAAGTGAAGGAAATACATCTCTAAGCTTTCCAAAAGTGTATTGAAAAACCGTGGATCTCTTCGGTTTGCCGAATTCTAAAAAAGTTAATTTCATTTTTACCCCACAGTTTCACGTTTGTGACACAAATTACCCCCATTTAGCAGCTTTCACATTTGTATTCATTTTAATCAAACTTGTGGCACAAATTATTCTGGGAATGGCTAATGTGGCTATTACGAGAATATATGGCATGCACCTTTGAAAGCACAAGTGCTCCCTAGGTGGTTTTGGTAATTAATGTCAACATATCTCTTGTTGGACTAACACTTTTATCTAGCATGTTTCAGATAAGTTCAACAGTGGAGTGGCATGGACTAAAGGATGTGGGAACTCCTTCAAGATGCTAAGGACAAAGGATTGGCTCAAGCTTCAAGCTCAAGACTCTTCATTTTACATTTTAGTGATCCAAGATCACATTGAGTCTATAGGAAAAGTCAATACTATCAAGGAGGGATGAGGTGTTGCTTAATGAGCCTCTTGCTTCATGTGCTTAGTGATATGCTCCAAAACCCTCAGCTACTTTCCCACTTCCACAAATGACCTAAATCTAAAGCCAAAATCGGTCACACCGATTCTTCCTATCCGGCGCCACCGATTACAAAGGTCATAGCCACTGCCACAAACCTTAAGCAAATCGGTCTTACCGATAGGGATCTCGGTCTCACCGAGATGGGATTGTAATCTCTCTGTGTATGTCCATTATCAAAATCGGTTTCACCGAGTTTGAGAAATCGGTACTACCGAGATTACAATGCAAACTCTCTGGATGACTTATTACCAAAATCGGTCTCACCGAGTTTGAGTAATCGGTCCCACCGAGTTTTCCTGACCAACTCTCTGGAAAGCTTATTACCAAATCGGTCCCACCGAGTTTGTGTAATCGGTCTTACCGAGATTACGTTATGCCCCAACCCTAACTGAATTGGTCTCACCGAGTTGCATTTCGGTCCCACCGAAAACCCTAACGGTCACATTATTTGCTAAATCGGTCTGACCGAGTTTAACGATTCGGTCCCACCGAGTTTGGCAAAATTGTGTGTAACGGTTAGATTTTGTGTGGAGGCTATATATACCCCTCCACCTCCTCTTCATTTGTGGAGAGAGTCATTAGAACGAACATACACTTCCAACTTACCATTTCTGAGAGAGAACTACCTACTCATGTGTTGAGGCCAAGATATTTCATTCCTACCATATGAATCTTGATCTCTAGCCTTCCCCAAGTTGCTTTCCACTCAAATCTTCTTTCCACCTGATCCAAAACCTATGAGAGAGAGTTGAGTGTTGGGGAGACTATCATTTGAAGCACAAGAGCAAGGAGTTCATCATCAATGCACCATTTGTTACTTCTTGGAGAGTGGTGTCTCCTAGATTGGCTAGGTGTCACTTGGGAGCCTCCGACAAGATTGTGGAGTTGAACCAAGGAGTTTGTAAGGGCAAGGAGATCGCCTACTTCGTGAAGATCTACCGCTAGTGAGGCAAGTCCTTCGTGGGCGACGGCCATGGTGGGATAGACAAGGTTGCTTCTTCGTGGACCCTTCATGGGTGGAGCCCTCCGTGGACTCGCGCAACCGTTACCCTTCGTGGGTTGAAGTCTCCATCAACGTGGATGTACGATAGCACCACCTATCGGAACCACGCCAAAAACATCTGTGTCTCCAATTGCGTTTGAATCCTCCAAACCCTTCCCTTTACTTTCTTGCAAGTTGCATGCTTTACTTTCCGCTGCTCATATACTCTTTGCATGCTTGCTTGATATGTATTGTGAATGTTGAAATTGTGCCTAAACTACACTTAAACTCAAAGAAACTTAAAAACTGCAACTTTGGCACTTAGTGTCTAATCACCCCCCTCTAGACACCTCTTCTCAAGGTCCTACAAGTGGTATCAGAGCATTGGTCTCCATTGCTTTGGTTGAATCACCATTGGAGGAAGATGGATGAGTCTACTATTGGGAGTCTTAGACATAGAGTGCCTATTCTTGATGGAGAGTATTTTCATGAGTGGAAAAATGAGATGCTTGTTATTTTCAATCAATATCATTTTAACAAGTACATTGCTAGCCCTTGTGCACCTTATGTTGATCCTATGCATCCTACCCATGATGAGTCAATTGACATGATTAGGAATCTTAGAACTGCCGAACTTATCATTAGAGGATTGCCTAGAAACTTGATTGGATGTTTGCCTACTTTCAAGTGTGCCTACACCATATGGAAATTTCTTGAGGAACGATTTCCAGATTATTCCTTGAAAAATCTTGATGAAATTCTCCATAAGCCTATTGCCTTGAGTAAGATGAATACTAGTGATCCTATGTTTGGTGATCGTCTATTTGAACTTACAAACCTTATGCGTGCCAAAGGAAATGTTGGTATTATTAGTGATATTATTTCCAAAGCTATAAAAATTCATAAGCAAGATTATTGTCAAACTCATTCTAATGAATCACCCTCTCTAGGACTTGATCCACCACATGACGATGTTGAACATGGATACTATGATGAGGATGATGATAGTGACTTCGATCTTGATGATGCAATGAGACATTTTGGTCTTATGGCAAATCTTCGGGGATATATGTCAAGAGGAAAGGAATGGGTTCTTGATAGTGGATGTACCGATCACATGACCGGAGATAAAGACATGTTCTGTGAGCTTGCTGATAATGATAGTCCTCGAAAGTATGTCACTTTCGGTGACAACTCAAAGGGTAAGGTGGTTGGCCTCGGTAAGGTGGCCATATCACATGATAGCTCCATACAAAATGTCATGCTCGTTGAATCTCTTGGTTACAACTTACTTTCAGTATCTAGACTTGCTGATTTCGGTTTCAATGTTCTATTTACTGAAGTAGATTGCCAAGTGTTTCGTCGAGATAATCATAAAATGGTCTTTACCGGTGTGCGTAGAGGTGATCTATACATTGTTGATTTCACTAGAAAGGCTCAACCTAAAACTTGCTTCATTGCTAAATCCTCAAAAGGTTGGTTATGGCATAGACGATTAGGTCATGTTGGTATGCGGAACCTTGACAAGCTTATTAAAGGAAATCATATCCTTGGAGTTAACGATGTCATATTTGATAAGGATAGACTTTGCAGCACTTGTCAGGCAGGTAAACAGGTTGGAGGAAGGCATCCCGTGAAGAACATCATGACTACAAGAAGGCCACTCGAGCTACTTCACATGGATCTCTTTGGTCCCAACTCTTACAAAAGTCTCGGTGAAAATTCTTTTGGTCTAGTAATAGTTGATGATTTTTCAAGATTTACGTGGGTGTTCTTTCTCGATGATAAATCGCAGGTCCAAAAGATCTTCAAAAACTTCGCTAGGAAGGCCCAAAATCAATTTGAAGTGAAGATCAAGAAGGTTCGCAGCGACAACGGAACGGAGTTCAAAAACGCAAATGTGGACACCTTTCTTGACGAAGAAGGGATTTCACACGAGTTCTCGGCTACGTACACACCTCAACAA